TTAGTTTTTTCCCAAACTTCGACATGGGCCTCCTTGTTAACAGCATGTTTGAACTCATAACTCACCCAGCTGCAACTCCTAATTCTACAGCCTGTTCACTGCTGAAGGGAATAAGCCTAAGAAAATGAACACATGAAGAGTGTGGTTTAAGTTTAGGATGAGGGGCCAAATTTCCTTAATGACTCCACCAAAGCAGAATTTAAAATTCTTTTTTTTTTTTTTTTGCTTTTTGTAGGTTAGGGCCTTAATAATTGCTTCCTGTTATCCATACCCTACCATAAAACACAAGCTCTCATTTGTCCCATTAAAAAAAGCATGGTTCCTAGATGGGGGTGCAAAATAGGCACTCTTTGTGTGTGTGTGTGTGTGTGTGGATAAGTATCCTGCCTGGGCATAATTTGAGAAAGATAACCTTTCCTCCTTCCTCTACTATGTCTTTATCCTTTCTCCATGGCAACTCTCCATCTCCTCCCATCCCAGGCCAGTAGAAAGCAGGAGGTGCATAGCAAGCGCTTATGAAGTACCTAGTCTCAGGCTTGGCATGGACGAACCTTCTAGCAGCATTACCCATGGGTCATGATAAAGATCTTTCTAAACAAGTAAGCCTAGACCTTTGCTATCTCTGATCCTCAAGGTTGCAGAAGCAGAGCCAGTGTCATACACTGTCACTGACGACAAGACAGTGTTGGATGTAACAATTCTTCATGTGAGTTCTGACACTCGGGACTTTCAGTGTATCTATTTACTGAACCAGCTGGGAATTATACATACAATTGACTATGTATGTAAATCTGGCTCCGCAGAAATAGGAAAGGACTATAAGCCTGAAATCACTTATTATAGAACCTGCAATAGCCTAGGAGCACAAAAAGTCATGTTTCTCCTGATCTCCAGTTCAAAGTCTCCACTTTGGTTTCTACCTCAACACTGCTAGCAGAGAAAGAGAGAAGAAAGAAGACAAACTCAACAAGAACAGGAAGAAAACATCACTTTTTATTATGTTACTTTTCTTACTAAGGTATTTTAAAAACACTTAAGATACAGCGTTAGCCAAGAACCCCCTGGTTCCTGGAAACTCTTTTCCCCTAAATGCCACCCTCCCTTTGGGATGTGGCTTCACCACCTCAGCTGGCCCTGACTCTGGGTGACACTCCCTGGTGCTATCCGACAATCATGCCACTGTCTTACCATGTTTCCTGAAAACGGTTTTCAAATAGCAGCCTTCCAAGTTTATTTGCCAAGTGATCTCACATTTAAAATATTTTTTCTTAGAAAAATGATTAGCGTCTGGAGTAGATCATAAAATTTCCTGATTCCATGACAAAGTATAGAAACAAAAGTGACGCTATCAAGACAAAACACTGGGTTGGTGATAGTGAAAGCTACTTCCCAGGTAGACACATAAACAAGGGAGATGTCTTTGTAAAGATACAGAAAAAAGTCTAGTCCACCCTAGGATGGATTTTTCTATTAATCACAATTTGTCTAAGTTTATAATAAACACTATTGTAAATATGCTATTTTTGGTTCCTTCTTTTCTCCCCTCCTCCCTCTTTTCCTCTTTTTGTTCATTGAACCCCCAGGAATATAGTGAAAATGATCACAAAAACTTTCTCTAAGTTAAGCAGAGCTTTTGCACTCAAGGCTAGTATTCTTGACTTGAACCACATCTCCACTCTGCACTTTTTATGGTTAACTGGAGATAAAGAGTTTCACTGATGGGGCTGGGAAGGTGGCTCAGTGGTAGAGTGCTTGCCTTGCATGCATGAGGCCCTGGGTTCGATTCCTCAGCACCACATAAACAGAAAAAGCCAGAAATGGCGCTGTGGTTCAAGCAGTAGAGCGCTTGCCTTGAGCTGAAGAGCTGAGAGACAGCGCCTAGGCCCAGAGTTCAGGTCCACGGCCGACAAAAAAAAAAAAAAAAAGTTTCACTGACTGTCCTGCCCAGGCTGGCTTTGAACCTCTATCCTCCAATCTCAGTCTCCTGAGTAGCTATGAGTACAGGTGTGAACCACTGGCGGCACTCACCCATTTCATTTCTTTACTGCCAATTAATTACATTGCCAAGGTTTCTTGGGGGTAGGAAAGGAGGTGTAGAGCATCATCTTATATTTGACTATACCCCTGACCATGCATACACAGTCTTTAAAAAGAAAATAGTCTCTAATAATTTTGTGTATCATACAGCTCTTTCCCCCTCCTGTTCTTCCAAAAGAAGATTCTTCCTTCTTTTTTTTTTTTTTGTTGGTCGTGGGGCTGGAACTCTGGGCCTGGGCGCTGTCCCTCAGCTCTTCCGCTCAAGGCAAGCGCTCTACCACTTGAGCTACAGCGCCACTTCCGGTTTTCTGGTGGTTTATTGGAGATAGGAGCCTCACAGTCTCTCCTGCCTGGGCTGGCTTTGAACTGCGATCCTTAGATCTCAGCCTCCTGAGTAGCTAGGATTACAGGCATGAGCCACCAGTGCCCGGCCTCTTCCTTCTTTTTAAAATTCCTATAAGGTCAGAGATTACAGAAAGGGAACAAAAATAATTATCTTAGATTTTCCTTTAGCTCAGTCTGAAATTTGCTATAAGAGCTATTCCTCAAGATTGGCATACATAAAATGTGCCAAAATTAAAAAAATTAACATTTACTAACTTAAGTCAATGAAATAACTTAAAAGGTAATCATGATTATGACAAAGTTAAAAAAATATGAGGCAAAGAATTCTGAATCACTGTCAAACTTTAAATTTGGTCATTTTTCTGATTTCACTTACATGAAAACATTTTAATGATAAAGTATTGATGTTAAATTGATCTTAACTGGTAGTCTACATTATAATCAATATGTACCATTTTACTATTAGCTATAGATTTTATACTATACTATAGATTTTAAATCTAACAGCTGGTAGCTAAAAAAAATTCAAAAGGAAGTACAAATGGGTAACTTATTTTCAAAGATGAAGGCCCCGATTTAAGAAAAATAAAAACTTTTCTATCATACTTCCTTTTTTCCTGGTGACAATGAGTATAGTCTGTACAATATTTCAAGAAGTTCCTACTACAAATCCAAAGACAAAAAAGCCCCAAGAGCAAGGTTAATAATGGAAATGCCAATGGACTGCAATTAAAAGAGCTGTTTTTGGGCTGGGAAGGTGGCTCAGTGGTAGAGCGCTTGCCTTGCATGCATGAGGCCCTGGGTTCGATTCCTCAGCACCACATAAGCAAAAAAGAAAAAAGCCAGAAGTGGCGCTGTGGCTCAAGTGGTAGAGCGCTAGCCTTGAACTGAAGAGCTGAGGGACAGCGCCCAGGCCCAGAGTTCAGGCCCCACGACTGGACCAAAAAAAATTAAAAAAAAAAAAAAAAAAAGAGCTGTTTTTGGGTGTCAGTTTTACTACTGCATACAAAGCTGCAGGATGAGAACATAAAGGCTTCTATAGTCATACAGTCATGTGTCACTTGGCAACAGGTATAGGATCTCAGAAATGCCTCATTAGGCGATTTCATCACTGTGAGAACCTCATACAGTATCCTTACTCAAACTAAGGTGGCTATAACCTCTCTAGTCATATAGTCTTACAGAACCCATTATATGTACCAGAATGTTCCTCTCTTTACTCAAGGTCACTGATATATTTCAGGAACAAAAATTCTAGCAATCATGTTTACTCTTTCTAGTTCACAAGCTTGAAAATTAAAAAAAAAATCCATATCCCGTTTCACTCTTCTTAATATATGTATGTTCCAAGAATTTAGTGAGAACTTGTCTCTAAAAAAACCACGCGGGGCTGGGAAGGTGGCTCAGTGGTAGAGCGCTTGTCTTGCAAGCATGAGGCCCTGGGTTTGATTCCTCAGCACCACATAAGCAAAAAGAAAAAAGCTGGAAGTGGCACTGTGGCTCAAGTGGTAGAGCACTAGCCTTGAGCTGAAGAGCTGAAGGACAGCGCCCAGGCCCAGAGTTCAGGCCCCACGACCAGATGAAAAAAAAAAAAGATGGATAGCTGAACGCATATCTTTTCCTGGTTTTGAGATGGAAAGCATGGAATTCACCTGATGACTAGTAGTGACAGCTAGCTAATGGGGCCGTGGCAGCCTGAACCCAGAGTTCAGTCCCCAAGACTGGACCAAAAAAGAAGAAGAAGAAGAAAAAAAAAACCTGCGCCATTAGTTATGTGGACCTTAAAAAAGGGAAATGACTGGTATATATTATACCAAAGTCCATCACCTCATATCAGAAAGGCAAATAAGATTTCAACTGATTTTTTAAAAAAAGTATAAAGTATTAGATGAAGTTGGCCTGTAATTCTAGCTACGTAGGAGACTGAGATCAGGAGCATTATGTTTCAAAACCAGCCACGGCAGGAAGTCCATGAGATTTCATATCCAATTAACCAACAAAATGTAGACTAGAAGTGTGGCTCAAGTGGTAGAGCACCAATCATGAACAAGCAAGCTGAGCATGAAGCTGAGATTAAGCCCTAGTACTAGCAAAGAAAAAAAATTAAATGTATTTTTGACTATTCAGTACAATTATGAAAAAAATACTAACCTAAGATACTTACCTAAAAATACTTACCTAAGATAGCACATTACTATTCCATGGAAAGATGCTCATATAACTTATCATAAAACAAGCTGTTATATACTTAATTATGTATCAAAGTTAGGCAGTATGATTTGTAAAGGAAAAACAAAATTCAAAAATTGATACTGTATGTATAATTGGTCACACAATCAGATCTCAACTAACAGACTAACACTGCACTTACATAGATATTTTGCTTAATAAACATGAAAAAATTTGCTTTTGTTATTAAACACACTAATTTTTTCTTTGGAGCTAAATACTCTGTAGCACAGCTAGAAAATTTACCTGATTTAAAATTAGTTTTTCTTTCAGCAACTCCGTTGCTTCTTTGTATAATATTAATTCAAGATACTTACTTCAGAATAAAGAAAGCTTAGCAAATGAACTTCTGGATTATAAACAGTTTCTCATTAAAATGCAAAGACAAATGGTGTTCATATGCTAGTTTATTCATCTTATTATTTAGGGATAACATGATGACAGCTGTCAATAACCAATTATAATACCAGAAAATTCAAAGAAAAAAATTTTGCAGACCATGCTTTTGCATTTAATTCTAAAAGGTATTATCTCATTTTCATATACCAGGCTGAAAGACAATTTAGACGATTTCTTTGCTAATTTTTGCTTACTGCTGAAGGAAAGATGGTTTCCAATATACTTTAAATACTTGATTCATATTCATCATTGATAGAAAAGAGAAGGAAGATGAGGAAGTAGGAAGACAGAGAAAATGCCACATGGATTCAAGAGTTGAGATAACTGACAGTAAAATATCTATCTGTTCTTTGGTTAGCAAAGTGAAGAGGGGAAAGTATTGCATACATGATAGATACACACTAGCATTCTAAAGCAGGAGACAAGAATGTCAAGAGTGTATTCTTCCCCCACTGCCAGATGGAAGGGCTATTATTATAAATGAAAGGCAGCAGTAGTGGATGCCAGGCACTTTTGTTGTGTGCCAGGTTCTGAAGTCCAGATGTAAGCAGGTTACCCCTGGGACAGGACAGGCTTCAGCTCCCGCAGCAGAACAGAACCAATCACAGTTTTCTCAGTGTTGATGATAAGCTGGGCTGTGGAGCCTTCCTTCAGTTCCACTGTGACCAGCATCAATGACCCACTGTGCACAGTTTTAGCTGCAAACCTGGAAGAAAAAAAGAGAGACCTTTTATCAGGGCAGGGCAGGGAAGGAGGAGACAATATAAATTCAAATAGTTTGAAGTAACTCTTTTTTTTTTGTCTTGAATGAATTTATTGAGGGTTCCTTACTGCCAAAACCTCAAAGCCAGTTATTGAAAAATCAGTAAGTTGTCTAGTCTATGCTTACCCTAAGCAGGTAGATGTAGTGTATTAGAAAAAAACCCAAAAAACAGAATAAGAAAAAGAAGCCTATTTAAATTATTTCTGAACCATAGCTGCATGTGGATAATTCTTCATTATGGTAGATTTGGGAAGCACTCATTTACTTGGTGTTCAACATGTCTCTATGCACAGGCCCCATAAAATAAGCAAGTTTATTTTTATTTTTAAAACATGTTAAGAACAGGTACTGCTCTCAAAGAGCTTGAAATTTGAATTCCTCATATGTTAAAATGATTATGCAAGAAGTTAGATAATTTTATGTACATTATAAAATTCTTACTCGCAATGAATTCACTCATGTAAAAATATTCAAATTCCCTCTCTAATGCTAATGATGATATTAGACAAAATCACATGACAGTGAAGTACAACCTCACACTCTCTCCTTCCCCTCTTCTCCCTAAATAAATATATATATATATATATTATATATATATATAAATATAATGAAGAAACTTGAGGTCTAATGTGTTGTTAGTAAATTCCAAGACATGAAGAACCTGCTAATTGCAAGGAATTAAAAGCAAACCTAGCCTTTTAAGCACTACAATTAACTTGCCTAAAAAGCAGACCCTGTAAGTCCTCCTATTCCATTCTGCTTGCACAGTTGAGCCCTCAGATGGAAGGAAGAGGATGAGAGCCTCCCTTGCCTCCCTTTTCCACATGGAGCATGTCCCACATATTTTTGGGAGGAGGGAGTCTGATTGCAGGGATGACTGGAGAAAAACAAAGTTGCTGCACATGAGCTTTTGAAAACACTAACAAGTGCAAAGCAGGTCTGTGACCTGCTGTGACCCCACTTTGCAGGGCCAATCCCCTTTCCCCTTTCTGTATGACACGTGTCTGAATCTGAGCCATCTGCCTCAATTTGCGCAACATCTTCAGCCACAATGGCACCCAGTTAGCCCTGACAACAGCTCACAATACATAAAAATAAAACTGCGCTGACAGCACACTGTGGACTATTCAAGAGCAAACCAACTGGTCAGTGTCTCATGTCTGACAATTAGCTTGGGCCTTGCACAGAGCCTGCGGTGTCCTCAGGGATCTGTTTAATTACCATCAACATAAAAGAGGGAGTTTATCAGGAGACACTCAGAAAAACTTCACTCCTGACTTAATTAAAATATTAGCCACTTAAGCAGGAAGCAGATTCTCTTTAAATGAAAAGTAATTTCTTTTTTGGGTTAAAAAATGACATCAAGATCTTATAATATGTTAAATTCTTAAAAAAATCCAAATGAAACATTTTTTTGGTCTAAATAGAATCATGAAAATCAGTGTTCAAACAGCAAGTAGAATAATGCAATAAAAGCAAAACAAATATGGTAATCTTATTCAATTAAAATATTAACCATACTTTGAAGTTGTATTTTAAAGCATTACCCAGTAGGATGTCAAGCAAGTACATTTATAAAACTTTCTGCTCATCTATTTGTTATTGTTTTCAAACACACTGAAACTTGCAAGGACAAACTAACTGTAAATAACTAGTATGGGAACAAAACTCATACCAATGTTTTTACTGTAACCTGCTTACATCTGGACTTCAGATGTACAAATCTCACAAGAGATTAGGAACTCTGTACCTCAATTTCATCTTTAAGAGAATACAAAGATCGTCAGCCTTCAAACATCCTCCCTTATCTGTCACTCTTTGCAGGTTTATTCATTTCTCTTGTCTAAAATTTTAGGGTTCTTCTGCTTTCATAGAAGAATACAGTTTCTGTATTTCTGTTAATGCCATCAAAGGATATGAAGGCACTATGTTCCCACAGATTTGGTCATTACACCTGCAATTCTTTCTGACAGGGTTGTAATTATGTCAACAATAGTCTCATTCGGCCTTTTATTTATTTAACACTTCTGCCTTGAGACCATAGAGAAGATTATGTCTGAATAGAAACACAGAGGCAATGTTTTAATTTCTAGGTTGAATAGCCCCAAGGCACATTTTGTTCCTTTTGTATTAAAAACTTAAGATTCAATATTACCAATAATACAAACTAGGTAAAGATAAACGTCAGTTTTGATGTCAGTATGTTTACAGAGATTAAAATCAGAATATCAGACATGTTTCTGAAATCCTATTATTACAACACTATCTGTGCTATAATGATTAAAGGCACATTTTTTCCACTGTAGTGGACTTACTAATAAGCAAGTCATCCTAGCAACAAAATCTAACTGGTGCAAAGCTTTCTAACTATTCTGGTGGGCATACCTGGTGGAAGCAGTGCTTTAAAGCAGACCAGGAGACCAGACACCCTGACAATCTCATTTCACAGTTCAAAAGGATGTATTTAATTGAAACACAGCAGGATTACAAATGATTTGTTTGGGTCCATGGAAAGTAAAAGTCACTCCCCAAAAGTTATTAATCATTTCACTTCTGAACAAGTAACGTTTTAGTATACCTTTAAAAAGACAGTTATAGAGAGTACTAGCTAGTAAACCATAACCAGTAAGTTTCTGCATGTAAGAAATCTTGATTATAAATATTGATTTACTAAATTCAATGACATCAGAGCCTCTATGCTTGGTCTCAAAAATTTCAGAAGCACAGAAGTTTTTGATCACTGTAATGATAATAACAGCTACTGTTTATTAAGTGTTTGCATGTGACTGATGGTCAGTTCTAAGTATGTCACTTGCATTATTTCATTTGACCATATTAGGCAGGTCACTAATGAGAAATGAAGAACTGGAGTCCATAGAAGTTGAGGTACTTGGTCAGGGACACAGAGCCAGTGAAAAGTGAAGTAGGAATTCAAACCTAAGCACTGACTCCAGATCACACACATTCTCTTAATATTAACATTTGTTTTTATTAGTCAACAGATAAATCATGTTTTTCCCTATTTATTTAATAAATGTATAACTTATTTTTGTTCTATACACAAACTTGGAAGGAAAATTTTTCCCTGCAAAATTTGCATGTTGATCTTTTTGTATTCTGTGACTCATGCATCTTGCTGTATTTTTATAATCCCTGCCCTTAAGATTAAAAAAAATTAAATAATAGCCACTCTCTCAAAAGCCACCAGTAACGAAAATTATAAAAACCTTTTGAATGGAGCTATAATCTGGGAGGGGCTGGTGGGAGGCCAATCAACCTCGAAACCAGATGCACAAAAATGAGAACAAATACATGAATGACAGTTAAAGATGTATTGCCTATGTATGATGGGTTCCACGTTGTTATAAGGCAACCATCTAGATATTTTTCTTTAAGTTTTCATTTCATTCTACCACTAAGCACTGCTATCTTATGGTCATCATCTGAGAAGGCGAAAGTATTTAGATAGATCTATATGTCATCTTTATAAATGTCTATTATTTCTAATAACTAACATTAAATTTATTCAATTTTAAGATTTAGAACCAAAAAACTAAGCAAATAAAATATATACATTTTTCTTAAAAGTATATTAACTTCAGAATATGAAGTTAATCAGATAACTTAAATTACACTTCTTTTTAACTTGAAGAACTGTTTATGGGCCATAAATATTCTTTGTTAGAAGGAAAAGATGTCTTGCAACTCAATTGTTCTAACAAGCAAAATGCTAAAAGAACAGGAACATTAAAATACTTATCTGATAGGCTGTTATCAACCAGCAGAGTATTCGCAAACATAAAATTTCTTACAATCAGATTTGCTACACTTAATGCAACAGCTCTAAGACATGCTTTTTCTTCTCTTGGATAGTCTTCCTGGTTTCTGATTTTTCTATTCTGAGTTCAATTTTCTTGTGCTTTCTGTTCTACTGGTTACCAGAAGCTGTGACAATGACCCACTCAGGCTAAAACTTTTTTTTCCTCTTCTCTGTACATGAAGCCTTCAATTACTGCCTGCTGAAGCAGACAGAATCCTATTAGTAAGAAAGACGATCACAAGATGCACTGCCCTGCCCTAGCTGTATAAAAATAATTAGTCCAAAGTTGACAAATGTGTAATGAAGTCACACAATCATTATATGTAAGAAATACTGGTTTGAATAAGCCTCCTAAACATCAATACAAAGCATGGTGATTTGGAGCATTATCTTCAAAAGATTTAAAAATTATAAATCTTTATTGCCTTGATAATATTCAAACAGGCAGAGAATTTGGAAGTCCTGAAAAAATTCTATTTGTTGACTATAGAATTGTATTTTAAAGTGAAGCTCATTATACTACTGAATTCAGAGGGAAAATTTATGTGCGATTAAAGCTTAGAGAATTTATCTAAATGAATAGTTTTCCTCATTTAAAAAACTGCCTGACAATATTGTACTACTTTCTCTATCATTCAGATGAGAAGAGTTAACATAAAAAAATAAAGGATCATCACAATTTAGGACTCTCTACTTTCTATTCTAATTTTTATAAGGTATAAAAAAATTACTCTTTACCCTTGCAGGTCAATGATGCAGTCTCTTTCTTTATATAAGAAAGTTAAAAAAAAATCTAAATGTACTTCCTCAAAGAAGACATAAAACATCCTGGAGCATTTCTGGTTTGTTTTTTGGGTGGAGTGAGTAGGGTTAACAAGAGAAAACCGAATGCAAAACAAACTATTTCATTCTCTTTGATTCCTTCCAAATTTTGTCAATCCAGAATATCTTTCTTTCATTTTTACAGAAAACAGCAATATATTCATATTAGCATAACTGTTGCATTATAAGATGTAATCTCAAAAATGGGGGAATTAAATATAACTTAAATACAGAATGTTTTAAAGTGAAATTAAGCTGTGTAGTTGATTACTTTGGAAACAGCTATGTATTTTTTCTGTGT